CGATGTCGACCGGCGGCGCGGCGAACCAGAGCACCTCGTTCGTGTCCGGGTCGCGGTCAAAGTGGCGCGCTGGGAGCACAGCGAGCGATGAGCGGGGCGCACGGGGGAGAGAAGGAGCAGGCGGGGGCACTCACTCGTCTCTGGCGGCAGCTTCTGCGTCAGCACGCCCGCGCCGGGGCCCGTAATGCCCGCGGCGGCGGCGACGGAGCGGTCGTTGCTCGGGCGCAGCTGCGCCTGCGGGATCGTGAGTGGTGGCGGGTGTGTTGGGGGGTGCGTCGCCGTCGGCGGGGTCGCGGTGGCGGCTGACGCAACCACGGGGCCGACGTACAGACCCTTGCTGGGGCCGAGGCGGTCGGTGTGTTCTGTCTTGCTCGGAGTGGACATCGTCCCGCCGCCAGGGGTGCGCTTGGGGCGCTTCCTGCCCGTTCCGCCGCCCTCGATTTTCTCGCCTTCCGCCTTTTCGATGATCTCGCCGAGTCCGCCCGGGGCCTTGAGCGGCTTGCCGCCGAGGAAGGGGCTGGGGAAGCGGCGGGGGAAGACAGTGCGCTCGAAAGGGTAGATGGGCATGAACTCGGTGCTCTTGCGCACCTCTTCTGGCACGCAGGAGTTCCAGTTCTTGATCTTGACGAACAGGCGCTCACGGTCGTTGTAGCGCGAGTCGCACACGTACAGGGGCCAGCCGGGGTACCAGAACGGTGGCCGCGGACGGCCGCGGATGTGTCGTGCGGTGAACTGGCAGGCGATCTTCTCGATGATGTCTTCGAGAGGGTGGTCGGCAAAGTGGCCTAGAGGGGAGGATAGTCTGCGGTCAGTCGATCACTGAAACATAGCAACGCACTTGTCTTGAAAACCTCTTTCTCCCAGAATTGTCTGTTCGCGGGGTGGAACGTCTGCTGTGTGTCAGAAACAACGGACCTGAGGGTGGCAGCGAACGTACCTGCTCCGGCCTGAAGTACCAGCATATAGTTACACCTGGAGGCCCTTTCTTCGATCTGACGGACGCCTTAGCACAGCACGATGTTCAACAGACAGCGAATACACACTGCTCGTCAGACATCTGATAGCACTTGAACACCTGGCCAATGATTGGTCTGCTTGGGTCGTCAGGGTTGCTCATGTGAAGCCAATCTGCCAGGCGGATCGTCCACCCCTTGAAATGCACTTCGTCGACAAATGTCCTGTCCTTCGTAGAGACGCGATAGGAAGTCACTCCGGGCACGCCCTCCGTGTCCGACGTGTGCAAAGGCTTTGCCGTGCCAGGGCCAGCACGCAACGAGGCGAAGCCGGTAGTCGATGTGTATAGGGGGCCTTCCGGAGGGTTAGAAGACGTCAGCGCCTGATATAATCTCTGGAAAGGATCAGTTCAAGACCTGTCTACAATAAAGGCGCTCTATGCTCACTTGAAGAGTTAGCACACTGCCATATGCTTCACAACCTGCCTCGTACCACCTCCGGGCCTTGAGGAACAGCTGCGACATCTCCTTGTCAAAATCCTTGGCCGACGTGTAGTATCGCATGCGAGCTCTGCTCTGTGAGAGTGTCAGAGCAGTGCTGGCACATGCCGGCGCCAAACACTCACCTCTAGCAACGCTAGAGAAAGCGGGGACTAACGCGCTGCGAGATAAGAGCAGGAACACTACTGGATAACAGAAACGCACGTTGAATGGCAAGTCCGGCAAGGAGGTCACCTCAGGTATGGACTCAAGGTGTGCGGCAAGTCGGACACCGCTGTTGACTCGTCAGCATGCCCATACACCCAGACACCAACACGCGTACCTGGCGTTCTTGTATCCGTAGATAGCAAGCACGATCTGTAGATGCCGGTCCTGGACGGGACCAATGTCAGGCAGCGGCGGAGAGGTAAGATGGCAGATGGGCACGCACGGGATCGCACTGATCCATCCAGCCGACATCACCGAAGCCCTCCCACCTCGGCAGGCTCTTTTCGAGCTGCTTGACGATCTCGTCGCTCTCTCCGTCTCTGGTGCCGTCGGCTGGCGCGGACTCGGGCTCTGGTGTCCCGCCAACGTCCACATCCATGTCTGGCGAGGGTGGCCGATCCGGCGATGGATGATGGGGCTGCGATCCCGATGGCTGCGAGGGCGCCGTGACCGGCTTGAGGGGCAGTGGCTTGGGTTTTGCGTCTTCTGGGACAGGTTTTTTGGAAGAGAGCGCTGCATGCGTCTTTTGCGCGGAAGAGGGAGGTGGCGAGGTGCGGGGGGTCGGGAGCGCTGCGCGCTGCTTCCATTCATTTTCGAGCAGTGTCTGGCAGTGGCTGCGTAAGCTGGTGCGCATACATGGAGTCGGGACGAGCGCACCTTGAGAGTCGCAGCATCCTTGGCGATCTGGCTCCCTTCTTCGTTGTAGTACAGGGCGTTGAGGAAGACGAGGTCGAGGTCGGTGTATACCGCGAGGGCGTCCTTGTATCTGTGTTTCTCCAGGTCTGCCTGTATGCCGCTGATGCAGCGAGGTTCAGGAATCACCTATTGAGAGAGCCTGTCAACGTTGCAAGACTTGTTACGGCGCTGCATACACACACCTGGTAATATTCAGGCCACGAATCTTTGTCAGGCAGAAGGAGGAACATGTCGGCGAGGCGACGCTTTCCACGGGGATTTGTCGCATCGAGCAGGGTCTTGAGGACGTGGTCGATGTCTGCCTTTTGGGCAGCACTGAGGGGCATGGTGAGAAGAGAGGCACCCGCGTCGAGCAGAGGGCGGTGGCAGAGAGAAAACGGTAGTCAGCGGGATTGACGCAGGGCGTCTGGCGCGTGACTCCGTGGCGGGGACATTGATCTCCGCATTTGGCAGTTGAGATAGTTCCGTCTCGCTAGTGCAGCACTCTCCCTCTCCCCCCTCGGACCCGTTGGACAATAATATCCAGCGTGCGACATACACTCTGCCTCTCCTCGTGCTGCCGCTCAAAGACCAGTGCCGTCTTTTCCGGCTGATGAAACACCAGCTTTTAGCCGGCAGGGACACTGGGTGCAGGGCAGGAAAGGCATTCAGATGTACGTGCGGGTACACGCGTGATATACGAGCTGGAGCACAGCTGGAACGGGGTGTGCTTGGCTGCAGCCACATCCGCATGGTCCCCAATGCCGGCGGTTGTCCAAACGAGGAGCAGTACAAATCTGCGTGCATCTGGCTGTATCTGCGCCGTCATATCTACGTCCATACCGGGAGATCGTCTGCTTGGTATTGCGGCAGATGAGGCAGGCTATCGTCCTTTTGCGGAGGTATGGCGGGACATATTCGGCTGAGTGCCCATCTGCAGCTGGTGAGTGGCGCAAACGTACGGGCCTCGCATTTTTCACACTGATCCATGCCCTCAGCTGCCGGCGCGCGCCACCGGGACACAGCCGCAAAATGGTTACGGACTTGTCCATCACCGTCTACTCTGGGCATCTTACTCTATCCTTACAGGGACGCACACTTTGTGTCCAAGCTCCAGCAGGGACGTTTGCGCGCGGGGCAGTCTGAGCCCAGCAACGGGAAATGTCTGATGGGAATGAGCAGAGGATGCACCAGGAATACCATGCCGTGATGCACTTCTCCGTTGCTGCGGTAACTGCTCGGGGTCGAAGCTGCAGGCGTGCAGTATGCTTCTCGCAGGTGGAGGTGAGTCTAAATGCCATCAGTCGCGCTCTTCAGCTCGGCTCAGTGAGCACAGATCTCAGCCCGTAGGTAGCCAATGTGGCAGGGAATAGCATCGACGTCTGGATCTGCGGTAGATTGCACGTAAAGCGCGGCCTCCCCGAGCGGACACTGCCTGATCAGGAGGGGCGAGGGGACGTGGAGAGTGCTGGAGAGAGCGTACGGAGCGAGAGCAGGGATGCGGTGAGGCAAGGGGCGCCATGAGTCTGCTCCTGCTGAAGCCGTGTCAGGAGCGGGCTAGCTGGAGCGGCGGGCGTCTGGGGTGCGCGGTCGGTGTATTGTCGCGAATGAGGCGCCGGCGGGGGCCAATCACGGCAAGTATCGCTACTATCAGATAAACGGTGGCTGGGAGTCTCACGGTCGCACAGAACCCTGCCGCCGTCGAATCGGACAGAGCGAGGGAGCAGCACGCCGCACGATTTTCCGAGATAGCTGGGCCCAATCTGTCTTGGAAAGCAAGCGCGACCCGCGGCGGGCATGTGAAGGCGAGCATCAGTGGGACAGCGTTTGATGCCCCGTATATATATCACCTCCATCAGCCACGCCCGTGTCCCGATCGGCGACCCTCAGCAGTACGTCCTCCTCCTTCTCCCAAACACCGCGACGATGCAGTCCCACCTCCCCTCAGCGTCTCATCCACCCCGCAATTCTCCCTTTTCACACCTCTACTCTCAGGCCTTCGCTTACGACACCAGCTTCTTCCGCGGATCGCCCCCATCAGCGCATGCAATGCATAGCCCTGGCCATTCCACTCACTCCGCCAACGCCACCGGACCATCCGCCTCTGCCCCTGCCAGATACTCCTACCCATACTCTGCCAGCGTGCTGCAGGCCCCATTCCGAACATATACGGCATGGGACCCGTCCTACCCACATAAAAGTCTGCCGTCCTCATCCGCTGCTGCACAACCATCTCCTCCCATGGCTATCTCCTACTCTACCACACAGTCTGCGAGCGTCCCCGAGACAGCTGCCGAGACGGCTAGTAGCCAGGACGCGCCTGCGAATGTCGACGCTCGTGTCGAATGCCCACAAGAACCACCTCAGGACGTGCAGCCCGAAGATACCTCCTCAGAAAAGAAGAAACATCCGTGCTGGATGTGCCATAAGCGATTCGATCGGTAAGTCCATCCACATGTGCAACTCGATCACACCTCTCACCAGTGTCCCACTCAGCCCATCTACGTTGCGCAAGGTGAGTTTCAACAGCGATTTCATTGCTAATGTAGCGGTATCTCATGCATTCGTGCTTCACAGCATCTTCTTGTCCACACTGGCGAGAAAGGTAGGCGCCGATCGCTTGTTCCCTGCCTAGAGCCGACCTAACCGCATGCGCGACCCGTCCGTTTAGCTTTCTCCTGCGACATCTGTGGCAGGCGGTTCGGCGTCCAGTCCAATCTCACCAGGCACGCAAAGCGCTGTGCCCAGCGCCCGATGAACATCGCCATGTCAAGAGCAGCCGCCTCTGCAGCCGCATCGTCCACATCTGCAGACGCCGCCTCTGGCGAGAACGCCACGGACGCTGGGCCCCCGCCCGACGAACCGCTCGCCTCCACATCTTCAGCCCCCGTGCCAGCCCCCAGCCGCACGCGCAAACGCGCACGAGGCACGTCGCCCGCTGCGGGCGACACGCGATCGCCCCCGAGCGCCGACAACGTCGCGCCCAGCAGCAGCAGCAAGGGAAAGCGCGTGCGCCGCGCGCCGTCACCCTCGCGCTGGGTCCCCGACTCGCTGCGCCTGTACGATCTCACGCTCCCATCCAAGGGTACACCCGTGCCCCTCCCCCCCGTGCGGCCGTTCCGTGACACAAATGGGGACCCCATCGAGGAGCGCAACTCGTTCGACGAGAACGCGTCCGCGACACCCTACCTCACCGGGTGGCAGGGCCGCCTCCCCGGCCCAGGAATTATGGACAAGGACGTGGCGAATACAAACGGGGGCAGGCTGTTCTTCTTCTGAGACGCGTGCGGAGCACGCATCGTGCTTGGTGAAATATTTGGCTTCTGCTAATCGATTGGGCTAGCATGCGGTCTCAGGCTTGGTAGGCATATTTATGGTTCGGCTTGTGCTCGTCTCTAGCTTTCTTTGGAAGCAGCGTAGCGGATGGGTCAGAGGTCTCTCATGCGGGCTGCGCGTCACCTTACACTTTGATCTAATATTTTGATGGTCTGCGATGGGGATACTAGATATTTGCTAATGTATCGGCTCGGTATTTGTCAGTTTGTGTGCCGTAGACCCTGCGACAGCCGTGATGGCTACATGATTATTCGGGTCCACGGGAACGTAACTGGGGATACATCGTCCAAATCGTCTCAATATAAAATACTGCATCACACGGATACATCTCGACAGATGCGAGGACACACCAAGACATTGTAAATGAATCGCGAACCGCAGTGCACGAGACAGCAAGCGATGACGATATCTGGCGTATCTATGTAGTTCCGTTACTTCGTGTGCTTGTTCCACAGCTTCGAACCCACTGCCAATACAGATAAGACGATATAGAATAGGTGATCAGTGCAAGGTTCGGCGCGAGAAGGCACAGCAGCCGCGGGACTTACCCTGCGCGAGGTTCTGCAGCTGCGATTCACCCTGGCTCACCACATTCCTGGCGAAGTCCACAGGGTTTGACGCACGCGACGCACGAGCGGGCGGCGCGCCTGTAGCGTGTACGGACGAGCCCGGTGGCGGCCGCTGTGGTGGCGGGGGGCCGCTGTAGTACGCGCTAGTGTGACCTGCGGCGGGAGGCGGGCCCGCTGGTGAGGGGTACCTGTGAGGGGCTAATAAGGCACGCGTTAGAATCTTCTGGAGATTCAGTAAGTGGCAGGAGTGAATAGCTTACGCGGCGGCCCGTGCGAGTGGACGTGGTAGCCTGCGTTGGGAGGTGGAGACGGAGATTGGTAGGAGGAGCCGGCGGGGAAGTGAAGCCCGGGCGGCGGAGGCGCTTGTCTGTACGGGTGACCACCGTATGTCTTGTAGGGTGGACTTCCAGCACGATGTGGCGCAGAAGGGTAGGGTTCTGGGAAAGATATGCTGGGGCCGTACGGCGGAGATCGAGAGCGGTGCGGGGATACTGGGGAACCGTGTCCGCGGTGTGGGGGAGGGCCGCTCGGAGGGGAATAATGTGGTCCGGGATATTGATGTTCAGACGCAGAATGATGTGACGCCGAGGATGGCCGGGGTCGGAGAGGTGGCGGTGGAGCATTCGGGACATAAACTGGTGCGTAACCAGGTGAATGGCCGCGACTGGGATCATATCCAGCTTCGCTCGTCCTATAGCCCTGTCCGGGATAAGGCGAATGCACGTGTGATGCAGCAGCTCTCTGATCTGCATGCCACTCGTCCTGTGGCCACGAATCGCTGCCTGATGCGTGAGACACCGCTGCCCAAGTGGGGTTTGACAGGCGTGAGGAGGGCTCAGCATAACTTGCATGGGGCGAATGAGAGATAGCAGCGCGTCTGCTGAAATCGTCTGCTAATGAGTGGTCTAAGTAGCTTGGTCAGCAAACGTGTGATGCAAATGCTCGTTGCATATTCACATACCTGACACGGAGGAGGTGTGGGATGGTACAGGGCGAGTGTTAATGTTCACAGGAGGGGGCATCGAATCAGATGAGGACGAGCCTGACGAAGAGCATGACGAAGAGGAGGCCGTACGATAGGGACGTGAGGCCGTTGGCAGCGGCGGGGGACCAGCAGGAGCCCCCATAGCTGATCGACCTGAAGCTGACGCCCTACTGCGCACATTATTTGCTTGCGCTGATACTTGCGGTTCCAACGTGTACGGCGGGGGTGGTCCCATCGAATCAAAATTGCCCTTGTTTCCAGCCTTCTCCCAGTCTTCTAGTGACTGCCAAGTGCCGGCGCTGGAGCTTGAAGAGGATTCTTCGCGCTTGTCCTCATACCGCGGACGTGTGGACCAGTAATCCTGCAGCTCTTTGACGGGGAATGACTCTGGAACTTCACGTTCTCCCCGAAGGCTCTCCGCGACAAATCCACACAGTCGCATATACCTAGATGAAAACCAATGAATTCACAGGAACAAACATAAGGGAAGCAATGTGGTACCAATCCGGCGGGAGGTCATATCCATCTTCATCGAGAGCCATGAACTTGTGACTTTCCAAGACTGGCAATTGTTTCTTGTGAGATACAACTGGCAAAAACGCCGTGCCTTCATCATATCTGGACACCAGGATGAGCACAATGTCATCATATCCAATTGTTATCACTGACTCATCCCACATTGCACCGTAAATGATGCGAACTCCATTCCGATGCACATTGTATAACTGCCTCCACATGAAACGGCCGCCCTGGCGGGGTGCATCATTCCAACCCCATTTACCTTCGGAGAGATTATGTCCCTATTTGGCGATTAGAGAGACCGCCCAGTAATATACCATATACTGAATGGTAAAACTGACCGATCCTCCCGGATAAATTACGGGAATGTAGTCAATCTTCCTGCTGACGCCAGGCTTGTTGTGCTCAAAGAGCTTGTTCCTGTGGTTGATTAATTCTAAGTCACCTTGTATTTTTTCTTTCTCAAACCGATCCGCCGTGTCTTCGTTGTGGTACCTTCCAATAGTCCATGGTGATATTGCATCAAACTCTTCTAGCCATACATCGACAAATTCCGGATTGGTGTCCGCATCACTCATTGAGGAACGCCAATGGGCAGGCGTTCCCGCCATGATGTACGCACCCCCTGGAGTATTATTACGGACGAATGTCGTAATAGCGCGAACAGTGTCAGGATGGTGGCGAGAATCTGCAAAGCCAAAACCCCAGAACGTCACTACGGCCTTGCCATGTTCCCTGAGATAGTTAGGGCTGTCTAGGACATGTCTTTCGTGAATAAGATGCATCCAATCATGCTCGATGACTTTCTGTATGCGGTCAGGGGCTACTCCCGAGACGTCATACCTAGGGATGCGTCAGACGCCATAGCGGAATATAATTAAGAGATACGTGCATTATCGCAAATACTCGGCCCTCCTTCTCTGCAGCCTCCCGTACACGATCCCCAATCTCGTCCCGTTGATTCCGGATTGCTTCGTTACCAACTTCCAAGTCTGTCTGGCCAGCGAACCGTTGTAGAAAGACACCGTCTACTCCGTGTTCAGCCATCCAATGAAAATGCCTTTGCACCGTTTTAGGATGGCGAGAGGAGAACAGAAAGGCCTGCTCGCCCGATGGGTACTTCAATCCTGGGGCAGGATAGAGCTCCGAAGGCGAATACTCCGAGAGATCCGGCCATAAATCAGTATTCGGTCGTCCGCCGTCAGGTAATGGATAGTTGAACCAGTGAAGCCAGCCGTGATGATTCGGATCGAGAGGAGGACCATCTCTAGGACAGGTAAACCATGCTTGGTAGCCTACCATGAACTTGTTTTGAATGGTGGTAGGATCCGCCCGTTTCAGGGTTCTACCCTGCGCCGTTGTGGTACATAGAGCCATTGCTGCTGATAGGAAAATACGAAGGGTCGTACACCGCGAAATTTTCTGGTAGAGTAGATTCAAGTTTCCTGTCGGCTATCGTTGACGTTGGACTCCTGATGGAGAGCTGGAATGGGCCACGGCTGCGGCTGGTTCAGGAACTCGGACTCGTCAGAGCGTGTGATCCCATCATACCTGATAAGGCATAGGAGGATCTAAGTCTCCAATTATCGTTCTAATAATAATATCTCGATTCGGGCCGGGAATCAAGCGGAAATCGCAAGGAAATCTCGAGGGAATCTCTACGCGCCAGGCCGTTCAAACTCAATTTTACATAGCGCGGAGACGATTTCGTCCCCAAACGTGTTGGGACGAGACCAGCGACGCAGATGCTAAAATATACTCTCCATAATACATCGCGCGCGTCCGTCGTGGTTAAGGGTTTCGTGGACATGCGGGATGAGGTGCATGAACTCAGGCAGAAGCACATACTATACTCTAGCAGCCGAGCTTGAACATGCACAGGAGGGCAAGCCGCAAAGAACCAAAGCGACACCATCCTCTTTCTTTAGCAACCAGCTTATTGGATTGGGTCTACTTGCAGGAGATCGTTGAATGTGCCTTGCTTCCTGACATTTGTCTCACCATGGACTCCGACCCACTCTTCACCCAGAGAATGCTTGAACCGTTGACACCATAACTTAGGCAAGACTGGAGGCGAGAGACTTCGTTACACTCTGAATGCGGATCCACTCAAGAAGTCAACATGATTCGGGACTAGCGGTGGCTGCTGACTTACACTCCCTGATCTGGTGGTTATAAAACGCGGAATGTGCGTGTACGAACTTGAAGAAAATTTGGGTGAGATAGCATCAGGTACCGGCGCATTCGCATCTCCCAAAATTCCTCCACTTCGCGCGTATCGTACTCTAGTACCGTTGTCCTGCGTGGAATGGCGAGGTTCCGAGACGTGATCATAGTCCGTATTCAAGTGGAGTTGCTTACAGCATTTATATAGCTCTTCACATCTTTCATGTCAATCTACGACTGGAAGTATACTTGGAGATGTTGTGTCGACGCTGTTCCCTCGCCGGCCCTGCGCCTGGCGAATTGTGCTGTCTTCGGGGTCCGGTTGTAAGGTTCATTGACCAAGTCTGAGACTTGACCAAGCATTGGAGACGCGAATAACATCATGTAGAATATCTATGCAATAGCCGTTGTCCGAGAATTTTGTCCGTATATATGTGCATTGGTACCTATTATTTGAAGTAGTCGTAGTATAGGTAGGTTACAAGCGCTTACGCGAAAACGCGTACACATTGCCAAATACGCGATTCGCGACCGCGACTGTGAATCAATTAAATAATCAACCCTTGCTTCAGCCCTCTGCGATCCTCTTTCGCGCTTCTCATTGTTGTTCGTACGCAGCAGCTTTCATATGAAGGTCGTCGTGAAGAATTGGCATGCAATTGCTCAGTGGCGATGGGACACTGGTTCCTCGGACGCGGACGATGAAGGAGAAGGCGACGTATGTGGCATTTGTCGCGTCCCTTACGAGGGCTGCTGTCCTTCGTGCAAAATGCCCGGTGATGATTGTCCTCTGAGTGAGTATAATATACCAACTATGCCCATTGAGATATCCGGCTGAGTGCAACACGGCCCACAGTTTGGGGAGAGTGCAGTCATGTATTCCACATGCATTGTCTGTTGCAATGGATAGGGACCGCAGCATCGAAACAGCAATGTCCGATGGATCGGAGGGCGTGGGGTAAGTTCCCAGTCTTGTTGATTGATGCCTCATTCACTCTAATATGTGTTTACAGTGACGGCTGAGCGTAAGGTCGACCCTAAGACCGGAAGATAGTGCATCGGATGCCCAGTTTATACCACGATGTGTATCCATATTAGCTATTCCCGCTTGTATTCTTACGGCCACGACTCGCATTGATGAAGATTTTTGACTATGATCGCTAGCGCGCGGACGATTTCCCGATCAATCCTCCAACTTTCACGATCAGCAGAGTGGACTTTGATAATGAGCCCATCTCTAGTACCAAGATACTTCTAGGCATGTGATGAACATCACTGAATTATAGTACTGTCAGCTTGGGATCATCTACGCTCTGAATGACCCTCGTCGGCTCTAGCATGTGCTCCTTTATGAAACGGCCATCTGCGTGCAGTGTCAACACTGATATTCTTTAACCATCAATGTTTCGAGCCGACGATACGCACTTGGTACATCGTTCTCTCGTGATCTCCAGTTTGCTTCAGCAAGATCTTTGGCAACACCGGTGTGCACATGTCGCGCTACAAGGCGTCTTTCCGCCTCTGCATCACCTACTTCTAGCCACCAGCGCTCATCTAGCAATTCGGCTGCTGTTTTCCATGGATAAAAGTTGAGGAACGGGTAGAGACCTTCGATCAAGACTAAACGATGATGGGGGTATACGGGTATTGCGTTGAATGAAGGATCTTTGAGGGCGTGGTCGAAGGAAGGTGCGTAAATTGCTGATGATTTAAGATGCGCACTAGGTGCAGATGACGGTAGATGAGGCTCGCGTAAGGCTTGCACGTACTTGGCAAATCCCTCCCCGTCGAACGTCCAATGCGCTCCTCGCCGATCATGTGCACGTTGAGGATCGGGCATAGCATCTAGCTGAGCTCGTGTGAGATGCCAGCCATCCAGACCTATCAGGACGGCGATGTTTTCATCTGCGTCTGAATCAGCTGGTATTGGTTCTCCTTCGGCTGAGAGTCCAGGAGTGTTTCGAAAAGTAGCGTTCACTTGGTCTATAACAAGTTTCGCCAAGGTAGATTTCCCCGACGCGGGTACTCCGGCAAGACCAACCAGAACACGGGAAGTCGCTGAGGTCCTAGATCAAATATGATCAACCGCCGCATATATTCAGTATGTGTAAAGTGTGCATACGCATAAGGCGGGCATTTTAACTCACGAATTTATGCGATTCACTAGGATGTCGGCTAGTTCTCGTGCTTGCTGCTCCATTGAGACTACAAAACGGTATACCAGGTATTGACCGGTAGTGAATGCGACTTAGTATGGATCCAGCGACGAGCGTCAAAGGAATCGTGCTGCTCGTGACACCGTGATCTTGAAGTTGAATTGAGTGTGCTTAAAGTTGAGTGCCAGTCGAGAGACAAAACATTCAAAACCACTTCATTCACATGCCCACTTGCTCATGTAACGTTTCCGGCACATGCAGCTGAGCCCGGGTTATGTACCAAGAACCCCATTCATTAGGTGCTCTCTCCATGTACTACCCACCCCGGTTCCCCCGCCGTCGATATCACTACCCACCACTTTTCGCTGTACCACAAGGCTAGGAACTACGGAGAACGCCCTGAGTCGGCCGCTCAGAACAAGCCAGGCGAAAGCTTGATCTAGGGCACGAGAATAAGCAAATGGCGGGTGTCGTAGATGCAGCCATAGTCTGCGCGCGCCGGTGCGCGTGAGGGCGTACGCGTGTGTACATTTGGGTGCAAACGATGGATGGATACCGATGGTCCCACCGCTTAGCTTGGTCTGTACGTCCAAGATGGGCGGATGGTAACTCTCGTTTGACCAGCAGTGTCCTATATATATGTATATATGACTTAAATAATCGAAATTGAAATACATGGTCAGCTTACCCAAGAATACGATGTCCCAGTCTGCAGGAAGTGCGGCCCAGATAACTTGCAGCCTTTCTCTAACATCCCGTTCCATGTCAATATCGTCTTCAAGAATAACAGTTATATCGCCATGCAACACCTGAGACCCCGAGAGAGCCTCGTGTACATCCGTTTGAAGCTTTTGGGGTGGATGATGTGTGTCGTCATTGGCGATGCGCTTGATAATTTCCAAATGCGAATACCAGCAAGCGATCTTTGCGGAAGTCAGCAGCATGTAGGAAGGTAGAGAAGACGTATAAAGGGGTCCAGCTGTAAGATTCCTAGTTGCACAAGTGAGAGGCTGAGCTTCAGATGCAAAATTGGTGATGCGATCGTCGCCAAGATGTGCAGATATCGATCCATCGTATAGAGTCTCGTCGACAACCGGCAGTATCGGAGGCACCTCCAGAATTCTATCTCGCAAGTCTTCAGCTTGTAGCGACCATAAATCAGAACCAGATAGGTCCAGAGGCAAAGCGGAGCGCGAGAGTTTGTCCATATCTGAGTCACTGGGCCAATCGAACTCTTCGACCGGCTGACTTCCGGCTCCTAGTCGAATACGTTGCACACGATTTACAATGTCTATTATAGGTGAGTCATCTGGGCGTACGGCAGGAACATACGTCCATTGCAGGGACAAAGCCTGTCTCAGCATCTCCATGCTTGCACGCCTATCGGTTCTATGTGGCAGCGAGATGACGTAGAAGTGCGATGCGAACGTCAGGGTAGTGTTGGAATAAAAAGACAATAATAAGTTGCTATTTTCCCCAGAAGAATCGTGGACGTCTGCGATTTGAGTGTCGAAGTCCAATGGATCTTCTAGCACACTTGAGAGGTCCAAAATTCCATGAGAAGTGAAATCGTCTTCTGTTTCGAGATTTTTGATATGAGAAGTCACTAGTTGCTTGAAGTCAGAGCCTAGGAGGTTTAAACCGATGAACACCCAGAACAGAGATGATATCGCCACGAACACGCCAAACAGAAGCAGGCGACTTTTACGATGAGACGACCTGAGCATCTGTGCCAGAAGAAAACGAGAAATTGAGCTGCATTTATCGCAATCAGAGCAATTTCAAAACAGAATTGCGACTTTGTTAAGTTCAAAGTAATGTGTTGTACCAGAGTGGGGGTCAACGACATTCAAGACCGTGTGATGTCAGTTGTCACACAGTACTTGAGCAGTGGCTGAACGGGGTCTGCGGCAGACTGCCGGCAATTCGCAGACCAATCCTTCTTAATTATACCTGTCAGCAGGGCCTTTACCCCCAGGGTCTCTGTGCCATCATCATGAATGAAGCTCAATTCAAGCTAATACAAAAAAGGTTCGAACAGAATCCAAAGAGCGCAAGTGGTCTCTCGCTATCCAATCGGTCATTTTATCTAATCGTTGAACGGATAGGTATTGGATACCGCGCGCAACGGCTCTCCTCCAGACAATGTGTTTTTCAGCAACGCCTGGCAAAATTTATTGGGTCCAATATCCCCGCAAGATGCTGTGGACGTGTTCCTCACTCACTTGCAAGAAAATCGCGTACCACATTTGCCCCAGGATGAGGCATTTTCGGAACCTGCCAATTTAGCGTTCACAGCCATGTTGGGGCTGAGCCAAGTAGGGCCCTACATGGACGATAGACCCACTCTCACCACAGACATTGTTGATGGATGGACCGGGATATTCAAATGGAGCGTCTTTTTCTTTTCTGCAAGGATCGAGGGACTGGAGAGGGGTAATCCTAGCAGGTTGGATGTTCTATCCGCGTGCTGGTATAGCCTTGCGCATCGTGACGCAATTCGAGAGGCTATGATCTTGACTCCCGCAACGGTCGAGATCGCTACGAGGTTGTGGCTTGAGGAAGATAGTGGACCGCTACCGTCCATCTTGGACGCGCCAATGGGCACCTGTGTGCTCGGTAATATCCTCAAACTCGCTACAAGGGATCAGCTCAACAGGGTGCTTCGGATGGCGAATGGGAAGGCAGATGAGATCGCTAAACTCGCTATATCTCGTCTGCGGAATGCTTCCAAAGCCCCGAAGGTCAATCCAATCCACCTCTCCATGTATTTGGATATGATAAACTCTCTTTCGCGTGTACCTGATCATCCTCTGCGGTATGCACTGCTTGGGGCGAACGTTATATGGGTCTTACACACGTTCTATGCACAGTTTCCGTCGTCGTGAATACCACTCAGGATCTCGCCTTTTTGGACGCACTAGTTTCAGGCTTTGGATACTTGTGGAACTGTTTGGAATCTACGGATGGATTCACTTGGGCTTCGCCAGTTGGCGCAGGGTTGCTATCTGCATTTACGGATTCTAGCCCTGTTTTCTCCAAGTTGGCTATCGAAGATCGGCAAATGATACTCGCGATAATCGGAGACATTCTACCGAGGTACCTGGTTTATAGATCGGTCATAGAGGCCGTTGATGTCTCGTTGGTGAAGGTTGATCGCGGTCCCGCAAGACAGCGAGTGATGGATAGCATCGTGAAGGATGTTTGGCAGAAGTTCTTCGCACTCGCCCGCCAGCGCGCGCTGATGGTGGCACAGGCTGATGCATTGAAAGGCAAAAACATGATTTGCGACAATGTCAAGGTAAGAATATAAGCAACTCTGTTTAAGTATAAGCGTATTGAGCCGCTTTTCAGTGCCAAAAAGCGGGTACAAGAGCGCAAGTGCAAAGATGTTCCACCTGTCTTAGTACCTTTTACTGTTCTAAGGTTCGGCTTGTCTTGGTTTGTGAGACTAATTAACCCAATGTCAGGCCCTAGGAATGTCAAGCTATTGCTTGGAAGGAAGGTGACCACCGAACGATGTGTAAAATGAAACAACGAGAACGAGCAGGTGGATTCAACTGTCCCTCGTCTTTGTCGCGTATACAAAACGAGCCGTCTTGTCAGAGGGGAAAGCAGACTGTATATCCAAGCGCGATGCATCTTTCTTTCATGGTCTATCTATGCACGATGCTCGACACAACTTACCGGATCTTCGACGTGCCGCAATGGACCAATTCCCCTCGATTGGCCGGAATCATCTCGTTATTTGTATTGATAACTCTGTCCTACCCTCGATTTTCACATTGAAATCTCTCGACCAATACGGGACGGGTCCAACGTCAGGATCGGCCAACGCCGAAGCTCGCAACGACGCACTAATAGAATAAGTTAAAACTAGTCCGGAAACGCTGATTGAGTCAAGATATCATGCAGGCGAAGCTTGCAATGTGTCCTGACGTTGGCGACGGGAGCATTCTGGGAATCTGACCGTGTACCGATCAATGAGGCTGATCTTATGGACGACGAACCCGGGAAGGACCCTATGGAAACCAAGGCTGGAAGGCATGCTTGTGAAATTCTGAGAAATATAGTGGAACCTCTGATGCAGAGCATGGTGAAGAGAGATCTCCGATACTTGATGATCTTGACCGCATTGACCGTGTAGGGCGTAAAAAGCGACCATCTAAACGATGAGTGTCTGAATTATGTGGTACCAGTTTTGACCACCTCTACTTGTGCCCTGCACTTTGTATGTCATGCTGTAAACCACAAAAATGTACAACGTTCACTGCCATTGTACTTATCAAAGTAATCTTTGGTAAATTCTCGTTGACGGCTTGCTTAATGTCACCCCCAATTCCATTCTCACCTATATATGCTGTAGTCAGCAACGGAGACTCACTACTTAAGCCTGCTACGACTCGGAGCATTTTGCCGAGTTGATCGATCGAGCTCATGGCGAAGCACGTGGCTGTGACCTTCCCCGAGCTCACACTAGAATTTTGACTAGGCTGGGTCTCCGGGTCAACCGTCCTACAGTGTTTCTCAAAGTGTCACAGTCCACTCAAGCGTGAATCTCTTTCTCAAACTGCGATATACCAGCTAGCTGCTAAGCTGTTACGTCTCTCGGCTGAATGGCCAAACACGCGCGAAAAAAGCAGAAAATTGCCGCTAAACCTGTCAACACGCTTGAACAATCAGAGCCGCTTGGATCTCTGGCTTCACTCACGGACGATACAAGCAAGGACGATGAGGAACGGAGACTCGAAAGTCTACTTTTTGGAACGGAGTACAAGCCCCGAAAGGACTCCTCAAACCTGATCATTTTAGATGACGAAAGTGAAGATGGACACGTCGGGGAGAAGGAACTAGAGAATTTACTGGATTCAGATGTAAGCAATACACGTCGGATGTACCCCGCAAGCTGATGTCCACGTCAGCTTTTCTTCATTGATGACGCCTCGAAAGACCGGCCTGGCAATGACCAGGATGCCCAGGGTGACAGTTCCTTAGAGAACCAGGATGGCTCTCCGCAGGCCGCGGAAGTGGAGGAAGAGAGCGATGAGGACTCGTCCAGCGAAGCTGGGGAGGACGACGCCGCCCGCGTTGCTTCGACAACTGTACAACCATCGACCAAGAAGGGACAAGCATGGGCGGATCCAGATGACCCTACGCTGCAAGTGTCTCTTGCAACGGACAAACGGCGACGGAAGCTGCGTGATGCACTGGCGGAGGACATAGTTGCTGGGAGAGACTACGAGCGAAGGCTACGGCGGCAATTCGAAAAAATAAACCCTACGCCGAATTGGGCTGCTGATGCGCGAAAAAAGCTGCATCCTGCGAGGGCGAAACGCAGGCGAGCTTCCGCCTCTTCTTCGTCTGACTCGAGCGATGATAACGATGCGCTTCCTGATCTATTGTCGGACACGAGAGGAATTTTAAAAGGCGGGAAGAGACCAAAGGAATTGCGACCAGGCAAGATTTCCATCGAACGGCTTAGGGATGCCAATTTGTCTGCCAAGGCTGAGGGAGAGGTGAAGGTTGTGCAATTTCATCCTTCTCCTCAGATCCCCGTTTTATTGGTCGCCAGTACTGATCGGCGCCTGAGATTGTTTAATGTATGCCATGCTTGCCCGCTTGATTTATCGCAGACGAACTCAGAGTTGTTTCTCAGATTGATGGACATACTAATCCACACCTCCAAACGGTCCACATACCCGATCTTCCATCGGCAAATGCGATGTTTCATCCCGGTGGAAAGTCCATCCTTCTCACTGGCCCACGTCCCTATTATTACACTTATGACCTAGAGACAAATACTGCACAGCGCTCGCCACGCGGTCTATGGGGCACCACGTTTTCAAATCCTAATGTTGCAGCTCAGGATGCGAGCATGGAAATATGCGCATTTGATCCGTCTGGAGAGGTTCTGGCTGTTGCAGGTCGCCGAGGACATGTACATTTGGTTGACTGGAAAGGACAAGGCCAAGTTGTAGGGAGCGTGAAAATGAACGTCGGTGTGAAAAGCCTGTGGTGGGCTGGTGGAGACAGGGGAGAGTTGATGGGCCTGGGTGAGAACTCGGAAGTTTATGTATGGGATGTTGGACAGCGGAGATGTATAAGACGGTGGAAGGACGACGGTGGGTTCGGGAGCCACATCATGAGTGGCGATCGGGCAGGGCGCCATCTGGCTGTTGGGTGAGAAGGAAGCTTTGGTACAAAGGATACGCTTAATTGACTGCTTTTTTTCCTAGCTCGCGGACCGGACTCGTGAATGTTTATGGCCCTGAAGCATCCCTCGGCTCACAGACGGGTCGGCCAAAGCTGCTTAAAACGATCGGGAACTTAACCACTTCCATCACATCCCTCAGGTTTAATCACGATTCACAACTTCTGGCTATGGCTAGCAACACAAAAAAGGATCAGATGCGATTGGTATGCGCATTTGACTCTGAAATGTATTCTAATCTGAAAAGGATCTCCATCCACAGATCCATGTTCCCTCATTAACCGCATTCTCAAATTGGCCTACCTCAAGCACGCCCCTAGGGCATGTGTCCAGTATTGACTTTTCCAGAGGTAGTGAGCATATTGCCATTGGGAACAGTCGAGGTCGTGTCCTGTTGTATCATCTCAAGGATTTCTCAGAGTAACGACGGCAGACATGGACCGACGGCGGCCGGCGGCTTTAGCTATCAGTGCTGTAATACTCCAAACAAGCCGTCACGGGCCTTTGGGCAAGCGAAGCTGGAAGCTGCCTGTATAGGATGGTCGGGATTGGCTAGGTTTGATCGCACACAAATAACTCACATTGAGGAAGCGTTGTGACTTCAGGGACTACGGCGGCTTGATACCCTAGTCGAATGAGCGCGCCCTTTAGGATGCCCGCGGGCATGGCTAAATACTAGCCAGATTTTAGAGCACACGCTTCGGGGGATGTATCGCGACATACAAGCTTTGTTTTTTTCAGCGCATCAGCTCGTCCCTCCCAACTGGAAATGCGTGCTATTGGTTTGAAGGAGTTATCCTGTAACACATATATCCCCTGGGGACCGTATCAGCTGCAGCGCACGAGGAGCGGTGCGAAGACACACCCGATGATTGGTTCGCAAATTATCGACTTGCTTGTCCCAGCATACAACCCACAATTCCTTGCAGATGAATTTGACTGCATCTAAGGTGTCTGTGAATAGTGGCCGGTCGTGCGATAGGCTGAGCGTGCAAGCGTGTTAGTTCATTCCAGGGGCAGAGATAGAAGGCGTTCGCACCGTTCTGTAATGTTTGCGCCAACATGCATTCCAATAGCCTCCAAGCGCACTCGTACAGCCTCCTCCTCTTCATCGGCTGTGGTCTTCGCTACAGATGTCCCGGGGCCATTACTTGTTACTGATTCTCTTTGAGTGTCTTTTGCCGTCGGAGGTGGGGGGATGAGACCGGCTTCAATCATATCGCGCTCGACCTTGTTCGCGCGTGCGGCTGCAACTACAGACGATGCGCGTAATGCGTGAACGGCCTCAATGAGGAAGTAATCCATTGCTGCGCCGTCCATTTGACGGACGGGTGGGTCAGCAACAGCAGTCAATGCTGGTATGGACGAACTAGGTGCCATAGAACCCGAAGCATTTGGCGGTGGTACGGATGCCCTTGCAGCCATGGTCACTGTGCGGGTGGGAGATGGTTATGGGCGTGTATATGCGAACGTACGCAGTCCGTCTGCGGGCGCTCCTTCGAGTGGCGAGCGCGGGCTTTATGATATACTCGGTATTGTTTCTCTCCCACCATCCACTTTGTCCGCCCGGATCTGCTTTGAATCAGACGACGGTTGTCACCTCGCATCTGTCGAATCAAATCTGCTGTGCATGTTGTTACCTGTGACTGCAATTCTACGCTGAACTGGAGTTGAGTGAGGTCTTACATATCTAAGTATTCGATGCTATGTCTGGCCTCTCGTCCTTGATTTCTTCCAGACTGCTAAGCTCGATGCATGCACGGGAGAGAACATCAGATCCTCTCTCGCGCCTTCGGTTCGCTCTCGAGACCATGCCGGGTTCGCGGAAGTATGTCTTTACTCCTGCGACTCGCGCCGAGATCCTGTCCGAGCTCTATGACGCGTTCTGGGGGCCGTACGCCCATCTATTCTTGCCCGGCCAAAACTCAAGCCTCCCACTTCATGCTACCTTGAGCGAAGTGCAAACTGCGACCACCCCGCAGAAGGAACCTCCTTTGATTCCAGGCAGGCCCTGCGGCCATATATTCAAGAAAGGCGAGGCGTGCTTTCGGTGCAAGTGAGTTGCATGGATGATTTACCTTGGCTCTAAGAATTGATTCCTATGGTATATGTAGAGATTGTGCACTAGATGATAGCTGTGTATTATGTTCGTCGTGCTTTGAAGCCACAGACCATACAGACCACAATGTCAGCTTCTTTATCGCTCAGCAATCGGGTGGTTGTTGCGATTGCGGAGACGTTGAAGCATGGAGGGTGCCTATTCAATGCCGATACCATCCACCTAAATCTGAAACCACCGAGTATCTCAACGCATTCGCGCTCAAAATCCTCCAGGCCACCCCACGAGCGACCGCAAGAGTGATGGTGGGTCAAGACGTTCCTCCGGTGCAAGATTACCCGAATCGAGTCTTGGTGCCTCCTGAGCTTCGAGACACGATGGGTCGAACAGTCGCATACGCACTTGACTTCGTGTTGGATACGCTGGACTACTCCCCGGACGAAACCAATCCTCCTGGAAACGAGAATGATCTTCGATCACAGCCTTCTGGTGACCCTATGTCAAAGGATCAATTCAGCATTGTCGTATGGAATGATGACAAGCATTCTTTCGATGAAATTATTCAATTATTGTGCGATCTCACCAACAGGTCTCGAGAACAGGCAGAGGAGTTGACCGAGCGCATTGATGATCAGGGTCGCGAGATTGTCGATATCTGCGGTAACTCTGCGCGCTTGATCGAAATGGCGCAGACAATTTCGCAGGTCGACGTAGGCGTAACTGTTCGCAGAGCTTACGACACTTTTCGTGAACAGGTTGCCGCCGTTATAATCGAATGGCTATTGGATTTGACACGCAGCCGTCTAGGTACCGATACCTTGATCCTTCGGGAGGTTATTGCGTCGGAATTGCTTGCTCCCAGGAAGCTTTACTCGTTGCTCTCCACTAATGATGCCACCAAATTCCTTGGGGAAATTCAGGATCCTTCACGCATCGATTGGATGTTTCTGTACCATACTAGACTATGGAAGAAGCCTCGCCTCAACTTGAAAGAGGTCTATGCTTCACTCCTGACTCTGAGTCATGAACACAAATTAGCAGTCGGTATGTTGTGGTCGATCGAATTAATGAACATCCAGTTAAACACTTATCAGCGTCACACTTTGCAAATGTGTATCACCGAATCATCGATACGTATCTGCTGGTGGATCGTGAAGCGGAGACGTCAATCAAATATTTTGCTCTCCAACTGTTCACAGTTCCTTCGGTGGCACTCTACATAGTTCGCCAGCACAACGTGGTCACCAGGCTACTTTCGATCATCACTGCTTTTTTCACCAACCAGATCACGGACAAACGAATCATATATCCCCCCAATCCCAGCGCCGATATCGACATTGATACCTTCCCTTTCAAATCGAAACGTTTTATGCCGGTATTTAGCGACTTGCGATATCTCTGTCACAACGAGCCGGTTCAGCAGCTCATCGCGCACAATCGTGAATTTATTGTACATTTTTCAAAGACATGTCAAATCTTCATGTGCGTGAATCCCAACAAGCGCGCCGCTTCTAGCCATGTCGAATACGAGACGGATGCCTGGATCAGTGTCTTCAATGTCACCCTTTCACTGTCCCGAGTTATTAAGGTGTACGGCGAGGCATTCTCTAGGTCCTCTGCCGCTGAGCTGGTAGCGGCGATCACGACAGTCATGCACCATATTCTGATGGTATCTGCAGTGGCGGACGATCAACGAGATCTCACGAGGTTCCCGCCCGTCTTGTTTCACGAGGTCATCTTCGGGGATACGACTTATCAACTGGTCGATTTCGACGTAACAGACGGCTATGTCAGTTTTCATCACTCACTGCAGTGGCTACTCGCCGAGCTGCTCAAGCATGTCGATATATTGAGCGAGCACTCGTTGCGGGAGCTTGGCTTGGCAAGTCTACGGGATGTATGCTTGCGCAATGCCAGTGAACAAGCCATCTTAACCATTGTTGACTATCCGTTACGTGGTAAGCTCAGCTTGCTTGCTTGTGTAAACCGCTTTTATTGATTCTTTATTCTTGCATTCCGCAGTGTTGGCTATGATTGCGCAAATCCGTACAGGTCTCTGGGTTCGTAATGGCTTTGCGATTCGCGGTCAACTCATGCACTATCGCGATTTCATGCTGCGCGAGCTCTGCTATGATCAGGATTTGTTCATCCTCCAGTCTGCGTTGATAATATTGGACCCAAATACGGTAGTCGTCAGCATGCTTGATCGTTTTCAGCTACTGGAATATTTCTCGGGCGCCACTCTCCACCCTATTTATGAGAACACGCATCTGCCCAGCATGGTCGAGGAGCTGCTATATATCCTTATAACCATCTTAACGGAAAATGCCAACGCTACGAAGATGCCCATTACCATTGCGATCCGGCGCGAGATCGTGCATGCTTTAGCCGTTGGTCCATGCACATTCACGGACTTGACGAAGCGCGTAGCGGAGAGGATGGTGGACGACATATCCTTCGAACGTGTTCTTAAGCAGGTTGCCAACTTCAGGTCACCCGATTCAACGGCTGATTCCGGCGTGTATGAACTTAAGGACGAGGCGTTCGATGATGTTAATCCCTTCTTTTATCATTATACGCGAAACAAACGTGAAGAGGTTGAGACCGTTCTCCGCAATCGCCTCAAAAGGAAAACTGGCTTAGAAGACCCCGTCATTATCCCCAAACCGACCAGCTTTGCCGATGGTCCGTTTTCGACGATTTCATCGGCGTTTGAATCCGAAGTCCTCCTGCAAATAATGTTCTATGGCATCTACAACATTCTCGTCCTCACTGATGCGGAAGGAGCCGCCCCACCTTCATCAGAGGCTATACTTGACCAGCTGGTACATCTAGTGATGCTCGCGATGGTAGAACGGCCACGTGTATTCAGCAGCCTGGTGGCGTGCAGGACATTTGAGGATGACCAGAATCTCCTGGACGTTCTATGCGTCTTTGAACACCATGACAAGTTCCAGGCATACAAGATGCGGGTGGACTGGATCCTCAGCCAAATTGCCCTGAACGAACCGGACGAAGTACAAAAGCGAAGGCGCACCATGGACCCCTCCCGAAACGAAGCAGATGATCTTGCAGATGCCAAGAAGCGTGCTGCGAAAGCAAGACAAGAAGCCATTATGAGACAAATGAAGGCCCAACAAGCAAGCTTTGCCACTAACTTCGAGGACCTCGATGATGACGAAGACGAGGATATTAGTGAGACGCCCGAAGAGCCTATTTCGTATGGGACCTGCATTGTGTGTCAAGAGGAGCTGAACAATTCCAAAGCCTTTGGGTCGCTCGCATTTCTACAGCCCAGTAGGTTACTGCGTCGTCAACCGGACGGCCAGTATGTCTATATCAATGAAGCACTCTCAACTCCGGATTCTCTTGATCGAGTGATAGAAACGCCAGCGGAGACGCTGTTTCCTCCTCCTGAAAGCGAGCTGAGGAATGCTAGGAGCAGAGGCAGTCATACTTTCGATGGTTATCCTTCGTCGTACTCTCGCTTTGGCCTCCATGCCTCCGTCTGCAGTCATATGATGCACCTGGAGTGCTTCACTGTTTACAGCGGCTCCATCAGACAACGGCATCGTGCACAAGCTACGAGGAACCATCCAGAGAGCATTCCCCGGAAGGAATACATATGCCCGCTTTGCAAAAGTTTGGGTAATGTCATTCTACCCGTCGCCATCCCATCATCGACAACCGAGCTCAACGGTCTACCCTTTACCGAATGGACACGCGCAGCGGGCATCAGCATCTTGAAGTCGAAAGCAGATCCAACACTCGAGTCTTTACAGTTCCGAAATGGCTCCGGAGAATTTGTGTTCTGGAGTGCTCAGGATACGATGTATCAGCCGTTCATGCGACAGCCTGACAGAGCTGATAATATGGAAGTCCACAAGATGCTTGATACCGTCACAGTGGTAGCGAAGAATATTTCCCAACAAACGCGACACCTGCGTGATCGTCAAGAACCTGACCCTGGAGAGCGGGGCGCGGGAATGTATCTGCCAGAAGAATTGGTCGGCTACACCATCTCATCCATCGAAGTATCTCAGCGGGGACTGGGTTCTCCTGGCTGTACTATAGCCGATTCTGTGACCGAGCATCAATATCGCATGATTCGTGGACTGGTGGTATGCTTAACCAAGCTAGTAGCTCTAAGCTTCAAAAACAGACCCGACGAAGGTCGCGATGCTATGCGTCACGCTATCATCAAACGTCTGCTTCCAGAATGGAGTCGTGGCTCTTTGACCTCGTTTACATATCCTTTGCTCCTTCGCGACCCATTCACCATACTAGTTGAGACCGCTGCTGTGGCACCAGACATGCTGCGACAAGTGCTCGTCCTCACCTACTACGCCTGTCTGGCACGGACTGTAATTGGTCTTGTCTACATCCTGAACAAGACGCGCAGCTATCACGCAACACCGCTTGTATACAGGCATGCCGACATATTCGGCGACGTGCGTATGTTTTTTATGTCGGTTATTAGGCATTCCCCCGTCTTCGAGCAAGCAGGCGACGTGGTGTTCCAGGCGTTCGGAGAATCTCGTATAGAGAAACTGCTCTACATGTTTACTCTACCTTTCCTACGCAGGGCGGCGATTTTATGCCGCGCGATGCTTCCTTCCGCATTTCCAAGTCCCCCTGCCACCGACGACGTCTGCGAGTACAAACGGCTGCTTACGATGTTGGAAATCCCGCCTTTGTCCCACCTACCGAACCAAGACTCCTTGCAGACAGCTCTTTCTGTATGGTGTCAACACTACGGTACTTCGCATGCGGCGTCACAGTTGAATTGCGGCGTTGTCTTGGATTATCCGGCCCTATATCGACTATCACGACTTCCTTTAGTCTTAGACACACTCTATCTGGATCAAGAAAGGATTATGACCTGCTCTCGATGCCACACGGTCCCCCTCGACGCAGCCATCTGTCTCATATGTGGCACAGTTTGCTGCGTACAAAGCCACTGTTGCCTGGACGATGACAGCCAGAATCGAGGCGAATGTAACATGCACACGAGAGAGTGCGTCCATCCATTCTTTTTTAATATGCTGATCCACATCTTTCGCACAGATGCGCGGGCCCGGTTGGAATCTACTTCCTCGTCAAGCGGTGCTCCTTGCTGTATCTATATGCGAATAATGGAACCTTCAGTCAGTCACCATACCTTGATGTTCACGGTGAAGTGGACATCTCAATGCGGTGAGTTATTTCCTCTTCTCGCGGTGAGCGCTCTCTCTCAATAGCCTTACTTGCAGGCGCGGACGCAGGCAATTCTTACATCATGCCAGGTGGGAAGAGGTGCGCAAAGTATGGTTAAACCACGGGGTTCCAACTTTGATTGCAAGACGGTTGGAGAGTACAGTTGATAGTGGAGGCTGGGAAACATTGTAATACTGTACCGTTATTTTAGGATTTCATCTTGATCACTCACTGTATCATCTTATGACCTTGCATGTAGCATTTGCAGAATGAAATTACCAACTATGTGTTCTCCCACAATGGCATTCATTCTGAGAGACTACGCTGTGCTGTCTCTAGCCGTGCAATGCTCCTGTCGCGACCGAGCGCCCATATTATCTCGGCTAAAGAAGGACCTGTCTATCAAAAGTGTCAGCTAGGTGCTCCTTACAGCGATTGAAAAGGCATGGAACCTTAGAGCCGGTAAAAGCATGCCTGAGTATAGTCATGTACATCTTCTGCTTGAGATTGAGCCTTTGATACTCTCGGTGCAAGAGATTTGCAAGCTCGGCTGGACGCCAGACTAGATCACCAATTAGCAACTGATCACGCAAATCTCTGACGACTGCAACTGTATATGGAGAACCGTCAGTATTTAATGCCGCGATAAACATAGTCACCAACCATATAGTTCGTCGGGCAAACGATTCCTCATCGTGAGGGCCTCGGCAGTCGTGTAGTCTGGCTCAATGAAGAAATATGATGCTAAGACGGGAAGGTCGTTCAAATTAACCATGCGGCCCTAGAAAGACGAACTTTTGTGAACAGATGTATTTATAGTATGCAGCCACAAGACTGACCTGTATTACTAAAATGACGTCTTCGATATATTGCACTGTAGTGAACGGGCTGGAGGATCCATGTTTAGTCAATAACCAAATAAATTAACCGAGAACGCACCTATGTGGAAATGATTTCTTGACGAGCGCACGAACGCGGTCAGCAAGTACGCTCGTACCGTCATTAGTTGACATAGTCCGCATGAGGTGATGCTTGTTGATGTATTCAAGCTTTTGCGGATCGAGCACAGAGCGTCGGTGCGTTACTGACGACAAGTCGAACTATTGGTAGAATCAGCCTCAAAGTGAGAATGATTTAACCGGGCACACATACCTCCTGAATCATCTCTTGAAGCGACATGACCGTGGTGCTATCGGGTGCTTGTTTAGAAGATGAAATTGCTTCAGTAGTATGCGATCTTCCCCATCCGGCCAGAGCGAGCCAGTTGAGGATCGCCGCAGGTTCCCAACCACGACGCTATGTAACAATCCAGTACCATGGTGAACATTTCTCCTAGCGAATGGAACAAATCATTGACCTTGTAGTCCATGACTTGCACGTCACCTTTGCGCTTTGACATCTTCGATCCGTCGAGGTTCAGAAGTAACGGTAAATGCGCGAATTGTGGAGGTGTCAATGATAGGGACGCATACAAATCCAAATGAAGAGGGAGTGATGGAAGCCATTCCTACAGAAGGAATAAGCAGAGACGACAATATGGCGCGCATGTACAAACCTCACCGCGGAGGACATGAGTAATGCCCATCTCATGATCATCTACCACAGATGCGAGGTGGTAAGTTGGGAAGAGGTCAGACTTTAGGAGCACTGGATCGGTGGGCAAAGAAGCATGTGCATCCCGCAGGTTTCCAAAAATAAGATCTGAGGGAGAAGAACGAGAGGGAAGGGCAGAATCCTGGTTGCGTGCTATTTGTAAATTGGGAACAAAATTTAATGGAATGTGCAGAGGACATACGTTCATTCTAATGACCGACTTTTCCCCCGCACGAACACGTCTCGCCACCTCTTCATCGGTCAGATTCAAGCATGCTTTGTCATATGTCGAGTTAGAGCCCATACGTGCTAACCTCTCCCGCGTGGTCGCTAGAGTATCTGGTGAACAAAAACACCGGTATGCATGCCCAGACTGGGAGAGGTCAACAACACTGCAAAGCTCCCCACAAGGAAGACTTACCTCAAGTAGTTTATTGGAGTATGAGTGGTATAGGTCCAAACGCTCCGACTGTCGCTCGCACGAAGGTCATGAAAAAGGACAACCCACGCATTGTACAAGTCAACTCACCTGGAAATAAGGTGCATGTGGGCCATGCTTTCCGGGACCTGCGCAGTAATGGTTGTACTTCTAAGCCCAATGAAATAAAAGAAGCGGCGCACCGGAGTCGTATTCCAAGCCTGCCCATTCTAATGCCTCACGTATCCCATCTACCGCGCCAGGAACTGTTCGGGTCTGCGTGCCAACCCGCCAGCGAGATGGAGGTTAAAAGTAATCGACCCCAGGCAGCATGTCACTGACCGCGTCTGTGTCCTCGATTCTCAAAATCCATTTTCCGCCTAGCTTCCTCGCATACAAGTAGTTGTAGAGAGCTGTTCGAAGACCGCCAAGGTGAAGAGCACCAGTAGGGGACGGAGCAAAACGTAGCAGGACCATAGGCGTTGCTTCAGCGCGTCCTGCTCAAAGCCGTCGGGTGTACAGTGGCGCGAGCCGGACCACCAACAACTCTAAATTTGTACCTCGAATTCGGACTGGAATGCAACACACGAGTGTCCATTGGAATTGGGGGAAATACATCTAATACGTCTCTACGTAGAAATCTATTGGGATGGACTCCGCGCTGTGCCCCTCCTCCCATTTCCTCTCCCAGTTTACTATTCGATCCATCATATCAACCCACTGTTCTTCAGTCTCCACACCGTTTAGCCAACGTTGCTCGTCGTCTAGTGCCTGGATCCTTCTCCAGCCCCGGTACAAGAACACCGCGTAGCCCCACTCCATCCTTCGCCAGCTATCCACGTATGGCTTCCCATTTTCTGGAAGGGCACCACGATGCTTGAGGTAGGCGATCAGCTCATCTTGATAGTCCTCTGTTTCATTTTCACTCGCCAGCAATTTGTGACCAACCCGATATGGGTCATACCCCCGTGCGCGTAGTCGTTCCTCGCGTGCTACGAGCTCCCGAACCATGTCCTCACGGGTTGGTAGAAGCGATGAGTTCGCAAGTGTATGTGCCACGAAGATTCCCTGAGCAAGATACAAGGGGCAACTCGACGCGAGGGAGGGAAGCCCAATAAATCCTAGTGCGGTGGGGGGAAGGTTCGATGCGAGACTAAAAATCTGTCGATGAAGAGGAAAGAGGTATCGGAGGTTGCTCGTGAGTATGCCTGCCGTTGTAGAGTTGGCCCTCGTATCTGCATCAGCAAGAAGCACGGATGAATGGGGAGCACTCAGGAAGGGTATTCGAAGTTCGTAGCCCGTCCCTAGGATTACAGCGTCGACATCGGTCACGGCAGTGCCATCCACAAAAACGACTGAATCACGAGTAAAATGTGAAATTGCTGGTTTTTGAACAACCGCTGCGCCCGACGCGTGTTTCTTGCCTTCCTTCACCGATTGATATACCTGTTACAATCCATGTCAGCGCTGATTCGGAGATCAAGTTACTCTGTCACTCACCACCTGAGCTAAGGGGCTCACTTGAACAGCAATGTCAAACGCACTAGCTCCCGAGCCTACAATAAGGACACCCCGGTTTGCGTACCTTTCCGGGCGACGATAGTATATTGAATGGAGAATCTCTCGGCAAGCGACGCCTGGCGAAATTCCTGCCAGCCAGTCCTCTGTCCCATTCCACGCGGGAATGTAAGGGTAGCTATTGTGCCCACTGGCAACGATGAGATGGTCAAAAGCTCTCCTCAGAGTGACTTCGTCCGAGCCACCACCATCTGCTTGCACCTCGACATACCAGTTCCCCTGTGCATCATCGCCATACCACTGAGCCGATACAACGGTGTGATTGAGCCTGACATACGGAGTCAAGTCATTATGCACGGCGAAGTCAGCGTGGTACGTCTGAACGGCGTCGGCAGGTGGGAATAATGTCGTACCACCTGCGAACGGGAAATGGGGATATGTCATAGTGGGATGCGGAGTGTTTGTGCGTAATAGAGGATACCAGGGCGTCTCAGGTAGCTCTGGTGGATTGGGCGTATACCCTGGAGGGTCTGGAAGCCATAGTCCGCCCACATCCCGTCGCCGTTCGTAGAGGACAACTTCCCAACCAGAGCGTATGTCTAGTGGAAGGTCAAGAATAGCTTTGAGCACCCCAAGCCCTGCACTGCCCGCACCAACGATAGCTATCGATTTGGTGGAATTCGGAGAGGAAGTCAAATGACAAGGTTCGGGCGAAGTGTAAGAGAGCCACGTTATAGAGTCTGGCCTGTACCACAGAGCAAGGGGCGGAAGGAATGATAGTATGAATTGCACAAAGTGTACCATGACAAACAGAGATCTAGTGAACAAGCAGAGTGCGCAGTCTTATACCATGGTGGCACCCAAGGAGCAGCTCAGAAAGCCGAAATCGGGCAAGACGCTCGAGGACACAATAATGGTGACGGTGATATGGTTTCACTCGCGCGTATGTTGATGTACATAGTCATGCTTCACGCTTACCACCTCAGGCGAGGGCGGACATGTATAAATACACATATTGTCGGGACAAGCTCATATTTATGAAGCGACAGGTCCGACGAAGCGATAAATCTCCAACTAAACACCCGCCAAATTTTCAGGAATTAATTTCCGTGAATCCTGCGATGATTTACGGTGCAGTAAACTGGACACCAGTCACTAAAATCAATCAGCATGAATGAGTACCATTCACTACGATCACAGTCAGCTTAAACACACCATTTTCCGGACTCTTCATGTTGTCTGTCCCCGTCATATCTCGTGAACTACAATATTTCTCTCGAGACCACATCGAAGTGTAAGAGAGTTCAATGATGTCTGTTGACTCGGAGGCACCTTCCACCGGACCTTGAATACAATATATCAGAACAAACGCATACCAATCCTGGCAAGTTCATCCGAATTCTCACCGGTTGCATTGGAACATCCTGCGCTTTGATCTGAGCTCACTACATCCGTGGGGCTTCGAGCAAAGTTCATAGTGGACATTTGGGACTACTACCAGTGAGTGGTTCACGAAATACTGGATATTATTTTCACACCTACCTCAACATCCGTTGATTTACTGCCCTCGCGCAGACTTATAAGGCATCTTGATACAACGATAGACGTGATCCTTTCACCGTGAAATGAGACGTAGGAATGATTGATTAGATCAAAGCATACGGGATTATAAAACTTGAAGTGACATTCTCAAAAACCTGTGTATTCTTCAGCGTAATGACACATCACTTGGAAATCTAAACAGACATACATTTGTTGAGAATAAAACCATATCGAGAACATTGAGCAAAAGCAATAATCTGACCGCTGGTGTAAGCGCAAATCCCTTAAAGACGCAATTATCTCACAAGAAGTATTGGAGACCTATCGTGACCACATCATAAGCAACTGTCTGTATTCAGCAGACTCGGGTACCCCTACCATCTCTTCTCAACAACGAAGTCGTTGCAAGGCTTGTTTTGTTCATGTTTCGAGTATAAAACATTATCGCACAAAGGACAAGAATATCGGATGCGATGAGGCATGCTCGAGCCACAATACTAACTTTCACCAATGCGTTAAAACTGAGTGCTCAGATGCTACCTTGACAAGACACACCTCTGTAATAGATGTTGTCAAGAGTGAACATTAACGTCGTATACACTTAGTACGCACTTGGCAATGACTCCAATTGACATGTTGTATGAGGTGTCGCATATCTGACCCAATATCGGTGCCCACGAGATGCCATATGAAGACTGCGCATAAATGGCCTAGCAAATATTTATCCGCTGGATAACAGGCGGCCACAAATGACACTCACCAAGTCTGCACCGAGAGGTGCCAATGCTAATAATCCCGTTAGTCCTGATAATAGCCATGACCGGCCGGTTGTGGCAAACACTCGCAGAGAAGAAAAGGCTGTGTTGTATCAGAACACAAATGGGACATCAGTTCGTAGACTACTAACCTGCCCATGTGGTGTATAATACTAATATCAGAATTTCATTGCCTATAGCGATTGCTTCACAGCTGGGCTCATTCATCGTTATTATGATCATTGACTCATATTCTTGTGCAAATCCCACCTCTGTCATAGTTCCTGACCTGTACATGACGCCAAAAGGATATGATACTCACCATGACGTTCCCGGAAGACAACAAAAGGAGAGCATTGAATATACTGTATGCAAGTGCTGCACATCTGCCTGAGTAGAACACCAGCACAGCACCGGTGGGCTGGGCGCTCCAGATCGTGTTGACCTCTCGCGAAATAGTAAGAGCGTAGTCATATAAGATGACAGCTATATCACGAAAATGAATGAACACAACCTCACAATAAATGAAATGTTAATACTAACCAGATGCGACTGCGGTGCAATAGTCGTATGCATAGCTTAAGATAGATGGACACCATCAATAGTAAACACCGGTGCTCATTTTTGAAAGGGTCTCATACTGACTAGAGTCGAATGTCGGCTGCGACTTCAGCAGTGCTTGATGTCGACGACATAAAATGAGTGTAAATGTGTAATGGATGGATGTTGGCAATGAGTGAATCTCTTATAGGCAACTTCCCTAGGACTAGGGACGAAGCTGATGCCTGTGGTCTCAACAAACTCCGGGATGATATTTCCACAGAATGCAATTTCTCACCTTGATGCCCTCGACAGTTTGCACCCCACTTTCAGTGGAGACGTCAAAGTTCCTCTGGGGACACAATCTAGCCGCAGGAGAGATTCTAAAGCCTTTCGCAACTCCAGAGTTTACACGGCACAGTCAAGCCCTCAGTACGATCGCCGACGGAGCAGTTGAGCAGCGAGATCGCTCGAAATAAACAAGCAGCGACCCGTTGCATAGCTACAAGGAATTCCGTACTCTATAATGCATTAGAAAATTGCAAAGGCGTGGGGATGAATGCCTGGAATTAAACAGCGAAGCGAGATCATGGCATTTAGTAAACGGGTAAATGTGTGTGATGAATGACCCGCGTACTCAATTGCCATGCAGACACAGTGAGGCTCGAGTCAACAAGACATGTAGGTCAGGGTCTTGTTCGAAGTTCGCAGATGTTTTGACAATGTCAGAAATTGCGTCCAGGTTCAGCACGCAGTGGGAAACGGTGTGCGTGTGGCTGACATTGTGAGCCTGAGAGTCCGAGTACAGGAAAGCGCCATGAACGGCGCCCAGATTACGTACCGGATCTGGACTATCTGCCCGTCAATGATAAACGTCATAAAAACTAAGTTCAAGTTCTCACTTCAGGGAGCCGAGGGGCTTAAGCCCGACTTAAGTCGCTGAAGTCTCAGCCGATCGCACTGGGCTGATCACGAAACTGAAGCCTCTCGGCTCCCTGAAGTGAGACGACCTTATATAATGAGTACGCAGTGCGAAGTCGCCAATTGAAGTGGAGTCCCAGCCCATTCGAGCGAGGCTTATTTTCCGCTGTTCTGAACTCACACTTTACTTCTGGTTAACACGACGGCGTAAGATTGAGTTTCAAATCAGAAGGATTGTGCAGCATCCATGGTTTCTGGTCTCAGAATTGGAGAGTAATGCTTGCAATGCCCCTTCTTTGACTACCACTGTGACAGCGTAAAATTTCTCGTGAAAGCGGCGACCGACGATATGAATAGTCGGGCAAGATCATCAACTTCCTTCAGGAAGCTGAACTTCAGATGCTGTATAGTAACTTGTGGCATACTAACTAGTATAGGGCTCAAAAATTTTCCAGTGGTGACCCGAATGAGACAAAACTTGCTTCTCTGATAAATTTGCCCAATGGAAAGTTGCCGCTTCTGTCCTGTCCATTTCAATGCATCGACGTCGATTAAGATTCGAGTGGCCTAGACACAGCGGCGAGTGGAGATATCAGTTGAGGTGAGCGCAAGTATTAGAAGTTCTAGCATGTGAGTCTCCGAGTTCGTTCATCCAACTTGAAGGGCACATACACAGCGAAGAGATGACCATCTCCCCAGAGTGAGGAACTTAGGTCTGGAAAGGTCCATTTTGCAAGCGTATAAAAGCTTTCTCAATTCAGGTGGCACTTTTCCGATGCCTTTTCAACGCCTTGCCATTACTTACAAGAAAATGGTGATTTTGTGACAGGCACGATCATGTCCATCTAACACGCAGGGAATCTAGCTTCACTAACAGGCTATCTTAATGCGTCGGTATCTAATGTTTCAACTTGCTCTTCTACCAGGCGGCCTCGTCTCGTCCTATCAGGCTTGGTGGTCTTGGGCCCTTGATTGTCGTACACATACGCTCCTAGAAGCTCCCGGACAATCGGCAGCAATGAGAATAGAACACTCGATGCTTATATGGAAATGGGCATTCTGGCCACATCTGAGACTTTGAACCCTCATTCACCCGGAATGAAAGGCTAGGGGATTCAGTCCACTGTGGCCACACGTATATCTGCATTAGGAACTTCGTGAGTGCCCTGTCCCGTTCGTACTTCCGACACTGCGAGTCTCATGAGGCACTATCTCAAGTATGGACGCGCAAAACGCGCCGTGCAGCCACAGAATAAGCGCGAATACTGTGCTTCATGCCAATCATGGTCCGATGTCGGGACCTAGGTGGCGTCTGGCGGCACAATCGCTCTTTAGAAACTTTATTCTCAGCTGTCATTTGCTAAATGTTTAGCATATTTGACGTGACGTGACAAATCCATTCGGCTGGAGGTAGGCATCGTGATGACATTCGGAATTCTGCGACTGAATTCTTACTCGGAACATTTGGTAAATGGCTTCGTGAAGGCGTTTTTGTTAGACCCTCGAGTAATTGGAACTTACGCCGGGCTATCATTCACTGAGTCAGGGCTCTGTCTTCTGCGGATATGTGGCGTCTACTGCTTCAATTGGCGCCGCCGCCGGTGGGACATTGTATCGCGATGGAACGTCCAGCCTACCAAGGCCGTTTGCTGCAGGGAAGTTGAAACCACAATAGCTGTGGTTCTGCGCTACCTGCCCATACAGCGGACCAAGGTCTGCCGATTCTCACCCGCGTTGAATTGAGCTTATAGTACGTGATCTGATTCAGTGCATTAGTTCTGGCACATTAGTAGTGAGGCCACTCGATTCCCATGGACCTTGTGACGTACTGTGAGACAAGTACCTATAATGTTGTAAGATGCCTCCGGCACCACGCTGATATCGTCCTCGGGCCACAGATAACTGCTTTTGCTCAAATGGCGCCGCTGAAAGGCGACGCCGTGTCCAGAATTCGTGACGCTCAGGGTCCAATTGTTCGATACCCTAGATAGCCCAGTATGTGTTTGCATTCCATGAAGCTTGTACAGTGAACGGTGAGAGTTCCGACTCGGTTCAGATGCCAGGATATGGTATCGTCCCTGCGCTTGTAAATGTGGCATTGATGCTGTCATAGGAGGCTATCTGCAGTGGATATCCGTTCACTCGCATTCAAGTTGGACCAATCGATCACCGGACTCCCCAGAGCGGCAACTTGCCACTAAGAGAGAGCATGCTGCGGCTGACTATCCTCCAGTGCGATTTCTATACGGGGTGACATTATAATAGCGCCTTTCGGATCTCACATATGGTGTTTGAAACGGAGAACCATACGTATTAGGGCTGGCGGAAGCGATTACACTATACAAGCTCAGTCCTACTGACCAAATGCAGAAGAATAATCTCATATCTCACGCGCATTGCCACTGTCACAACAGACGGCGCAATTAAGAATTCAGGATTCAAATACTCCGAAATTTGATAGTCGGAAAAAACCGTGCGGATGCCCGCGGATTGCAATTGAACATGTTTTGATATAGCGGGATGTGGATACATGAGAACCGATACAACGAAGCCAGCTTGTTAAATGAACAAGTCTTCCGTTTCGCCAGAGCAACAGTAGCATTATTCGGTCGCCAAGCAATATCGAGCTTACCTAGACAGGAGGCAGGATCGAAGAACCAATAGGGAAGGTGCGAAATACCAGAGGACAGATGGCCAGCTCGTGAGACGCTCAGAACTTCCTCCAGGAAGCCATTTCATTCAGGTCGGCAGAGACACGGGGCCAGATGCAAAGCGTTCTAGCAATTGAGAATACGACGCTGATATCTTCACCGTGGGTTACTATCTAACGAATGAACGTAAAGCATGAATAACACGAACCTTATCCGCTCTAGTACGTCCATCCGGCACGAAGCGACAGATTGTAGTAGAGATTTCAAACCATCGTTTCGCCTCATCCAACGATGATGCACTGTTGAGGAGATCAATAACAGCCAAGCATCTCACACAAGAATATAAAGAAGCGACAAACTGTAGACATTCAATGCCAGTATTAAAAGACGTGCCCAGCACCCAATACCGCTCGTCTAGGGGATACTCGCCCTGAGGGAGCATGAGGTATCAGTAAACGACTTGCGTCCGAGTAGATCATCACCTCGGAAGTACTCTCAGCTGTGCAATTCTGGAGGACTTGAACAGCCTGCTCGACATATCCAATCGCTTTTGCCCTATCTGCGGGAGTATTTCGGGACAGAAGCATCGTGCATATAGCTCGTAACCACCTAGAGAACTTGTCGATCGAAAGTGAGTCGCGATCGAGACTGGCGTGGAGGATGGCCTAGAGCAACGAAGCTAAGCAGCATATATTTGTTGTGGATAGTGAAGATACCTCAAGCGCTGTGAAGAGTACTGCGGACATTGTCAATGGTGCTCCCACCTGACCCGTGATTGGGGTCCTTACCGTCTACGGGGCACTCCTTATCGACCCACTAATAATAGGTGCTGAATCAGTAAGTGAACGTAGTGTGAAGAAGGATCTAGTGCATACGAGAATATCAACGATAGCCTCGAATGTGTTCACGGCGAGGGCGTCCGAAGAAACAATTTCCTGCAAAAATGTCAAAATTGACATGTCGGATTCCAGACCTCACACACCTGAATAACTAAAAGTAACCGTGACCAATCCTTCATCTGGTGTATCACCTCGGCCTCAAAAACACGTAGCACATGCAGCAAAGACTGCGCCCGCAAAATTTCGTCGTCAACCAAAACCTTACTAGTGTTAATGACATTTTGAATACGCTTCTTGCATGATACAATATCGTCTGACAATTCCTTAACGCGCTGGTTTTTCGGAGTCAAATTCAGCCAGACCGTCACAACAATGTCTCAGAGTGTTTCACCTGTGCACGGTCATTATCCCCGATATCACCCAAGGCGAGGCGACGGACTGCTAAAACTGATGACAAGGTTGAAAGTCAGTTGATCGATTTAAAGATGCGGCGTTACCTCTCCCAACGATAGCGGCAAAAGAGGCGTTGATAATGTGGATGTGGATTTCGACATCGATATCCGTCAGGGTAGCGTCTTGATATGCTTCAAGTAGCTGCGCACCAGTAGGTCAGATTCGTGGAGCCACAAATTTGTAATGTAGTAGTGTGATGATTTGGTACACACCTGCCTCGCGATATCGAACAAGTCCGATATGTTGGCCTCCAGCTCCATCCATTCTGTACATCCCTGAATTGCGCAGTTGTACGCAGTACGCCACAACCATGAAATATCCCTGGAGACCATCGTGACCTTCTGTTGGGCGTCCAGACCTTCAATTATCTTGAGTGCTTCGTGTCCGTTAAGTCATTCCACAAAGTAAATCAGACACATAGAGAAACAAACCGGTATTGAAATGCTTGATTAATCTAGGGATCAGCGATGTCCTATTGGGCATATGGCCGTGAGAATGGATTGAGGCATTGGTGACGTGGAATAACACACCGATCCGATGCAGGTTCCGCCAGGACTTTCAATACAAGCCTGATAATACATCGAACCAACGTGATCGCTTCAACATCCATATCCGGAGTGGTGCAGCTTTGGACCGTATTCAATAAAGCTTCCAACACCGACAAAAGTAGCGATTTCATATTGGACTCGTTTGCAAGCGTAGTAGCAAGCATCAGCATCTTCCGATTGAAGTCAGATGTTTTTACCATGGCTTTAACTGCACTTATTGCTAAACAAGGAGATCAAGTTGAATGTGTGACTGCTGATCAACAACTGTCTTACCCTCATCCTCAAGGCCTATATGGAATTGCATTAGCGAATGCGACGCACCAAATATACTTGGCGGCATACCTTGGTGAACAGCGGTCAATAATTGGAGGTAGTGTGTTGCCGCCTCATCCTGCGAGCATCGGCGGATCACCGCTGCTGCCTTGGCATACTCTGCTTGTTGGATGTAGCAGAGCGCTGCTTTGCGAAAGCACTTGGAGTTACTCAATGCCGAAATACTCTCAAAGACCCCACTAGTGCCCGCCAGGAACCAGTCGGCAGCCTCCGACCAGCGCTTCGCCTGATACTGACGATCGCCAAATTGCCACAGAAGCTGTCCATTGGCAGTTAGTCTGAGGTCTATACCAGTAACACGGTGCCACGTACCATAAGACAAGCCGTAGCCGATATCTTAGAGAGCTCGCAACCGGCGCCGATGAGACCTTTCGCCAAATCAGATAACAAGAACCGGATCGCTCATTTTGAGATGCTCACACTGAAAGGCAGCGGATATCTCTTGCATTGCTCGGGAGTGGTCCACATCTTTTGAGCAATGAAATAGCAACGAAAGGAGAATCCGATCAATCTGATGAAGCTCTTTTCCTTCCGCAATCCGCTGAAGACAGTGCCGATGAATCGCCGTAACAAGGACGCTACCATTTTCATCTAGTCGGAGAATGAAATCCAAATATCGTTTAACACTCACTGATCATGTGCAAGTCCTCGCAGCTCTTGCAAAACACTGTTGAAACCCCCTCGTCACTCAAATTTGCCTTAAAATTGAAATGAACTCACTCATTTATGTTGTCTTCGGTCACCTCCATGTGATCAATTAGAGACTGGAACGCTGTCATTGAACAGTTGGGTCAGGACAACCTAAAGTGTTCGAATGCGGCCTACCATCTAACAGTGTAGGGTATGCTGCCTTCTGTTTTTTTAGAACAGCTACCCTCATCCATCTTAGTTGTTGGTATTCATGTGAGGTCTAGAAGATGATGCTACATGTCACAATGAAATACTTGTCAAGCGGAACTACTCACGGGTTCGGAGCAACCATCAAGGGACTGGATCAGCTCATTTAAGGAGGCTTCCGCTCGGACTAGATTCTCTGCATCCTCGGAAGAAGATAGGAAGTACGCTCGCGCTGGTCACGTTGTGAACCGTGGTGGAAATGTAATATGCCAAAGATGGTATGGACTGACCAAGGCTTCTCAAAATGGATCTCTGACGAGATTGTTACGCATATCACAGGGCCACATGGAAGAAAATACATACTTTGATATCTTTCCCACATGCGTCGCTTGATTCCTCTAGATGCTCTACAATGGAGAATGCCTTTTGAAGCCACTGGACCGAATCGCGCGCGTGTGGAGTGTTTACCGTAGGCTTGCTGTTATGAGCGCTTCTCAACAATGACTTTCCTATTTCCAGCAGTTTTGCCGCAAGTAGCTCTCGCTATATGACTCAGCATCGACGAGCCAAGAAAAGAAGGGATAAGTATCTCACATCGCGAGGTAGCAATTGAGCTAAATTTTCGTTCTCTGAAAAAGTGAATCTGATCAGTCACAGGCTGTCATACGTCATAGCGAGCGGTTACCGAGGGTTTTTTGCAGCATAAAGGTGGCCATGCCATCATTTCCTTCCCTCCAAGCCTGGAGACCGAGGTTAATAGTGCGCGGAGACTCTGCGGCTCTTTCCAATCCGATCAAACATCACGTAACTCACCGCTTCCATTCTGCTAGAATAATATAACACGATTGCGCGTGTGCGAGACTGAGCGTGCGACTTCTCCAAGCCATCCATCTTTCTCAAACTGTCCTCATACTTAGAGCATGGCGATGAGACATGATGAATCAGGCCCGCTCGAACTATCGCACCTTTGCCGCACACGTAAATAGAGCGCTCGCGAGATCGTGGCTGCCAGTCTCTGTGAACGGGCGGAAAATACTATCAACTTGAAGTATCAGATGAGATCGTATCAGCCGCACCCGACAGGCTTACACCGGCTTTGCTTGCTAGCCGTAACACATGGATGAGAGCTGTGACAGAGAAGCCGGATTATGTTCTATGCTTGACCTAAGGAGGCTGAAACTCTTACTATCCATCGAAGGTTTCTGCTCCAGCCCGGCTTCGATGAGACGGAAGCCTGCCAACCTTACTGCGCATGTGAATAAGCGGGTATTACGGTACTTAGTAAGGGCACGCAGGGTACGGTGCGACGATGTCAAAGGACACTCACATGTGGCACTAACGGCTTGACCTTCTTCATCACCTGCATCTTGCATCGATGCGGATGCATTCCACAGATGAACTCCTACAGCACAAGGCGAGGAAAGTGCCAGGCGACCGTATCAGTTCTTCCGCAAATACCTTCGCGATCCAAGTCGTCAGCCAGACGAATCCAGTCCTTGTTTGATCGCGGGCGTTGCTTTGTGAACGATTCAGCGAGTGACGCTAGTTTCTGAAGTTCGGTGCAAATAGTGGACCGAGCGCTCCGCTTGTTATCATTTAAGTTGGCTTTGATATTGATCAGAATGTCTAGAATCCGGCGCATATAATTGGGGTGAGTTTGTGCCGTATATGTACTTAGCATGCCTTTGATCTCCTGGTATATGTCCTGGACGCCAGGGGGCAGTTTCCTTTTGCTAGCGGACATCGTCTGGACGCCTTGTGGTAATTCAATGAGCTAATCGACAATGAACATCAAGGGACGAGTTTGAGACGTGAGCCAGGAACTCAGCGGTCCAGAGCGTCCCGTCACAACACTAGTCACAGTGACAAGGGGTGACAATTCGCGAGCGCGTAAGGTTTATTCGCAAACGCGCGCGGGCAAGAGTTATATCCACACCATTGTCTCAATCTGCTGAGCTGTTGTGCTCACGAGGCTGCCATGTCTGCCGTTGATACGGTGTCTAATCTGCCCACTGATGCTGTGGTTAGGTGCTCCAAGGTACCGGGTGTTTCCCTAGCGCGCTGAGTGAAGACTAATGCGCATACACGACGGTTCCATAGGAAGCTCGCAAGGATGGTCTATTCGCAGGTCTTTCCGCAGGTCTGGCGGGTGGTAAGTCCCTTCTTCCATTACGGCTTATCGCCATTCTCACATCTGAGCGGTCTTCTGCCGTTCAATGACGGTCAGCAATACTAGGCTCGAAGGTCTTCCGATTCAACAGAAACACCGCCATTATTTGTGGTCTGCGTGAGTACAGTGACACCCATCGGAGTTTGACCGGCTCCCTAGAACTCTTGACGCCATTGGTGTCTGTTGGCAGTGACCGGCGCGCTTTCCGGATATCAATTCACCCAGGCGTTTCTCTCCTCTAACCTCGCCCGCATGCGTGCAGAGCTTGCTTCGCAGGCAAAGTCCGAACGCACGGCCAGCGAAGCTGTGCAGGCGCCATATACCCGGTAGATTGATACAAACTCAGTGAATTAATGACAAAGCCTCCACACCAGAGCGTTCATCACGATGGGGTCCCAGATAATCTGTTGGTGGCCACACCTGCGTTCCTCAAGGACGTCTGTTCAGATGGAGACGCTTTGCATCCTTTGCCACTGAGTCTGCCCGTCACTTCGGTGCATGTTTCATTTGTCATGTAGTGCTCACCGGAGATACTGATGGCCCTCGCGCACGGATGATTCACGATCATCTAGACAGGTCCTCGGGATAGTTTATTGTTTGGAGCCTCCTGAACCGAGCGTAGCCTATGCGTCAACTGAGCACGCTAGGATCCTGGGTCCCCTGTGCCACGATCCCATTGACACCTGATCCGCTGTTAAAATACACGGCAACCCCAGATATGATGACCACGGATACTGTTGCAGTGAATACGTGTGCTTTGTATGGACGACCGCCCCCAAGGGCCGTCCCTTTGTGAGTTGCTTGGGGGTCTGGTTTGGGAACCACAGTTGTACCTCACCGTTGAGCAAACAAATGGATGCACAAGGTTAGGCCGTTGTCGGATCGATATCTGATGGCTCCACGCACTTGCTAGAAGTCACCAGGCTGCTTCGGGCTACTGCAGCGACGTTACTCAGCTACCGTCACTCCGAGTCGTATAACCGTATCTCGTTCAGTTTCACGTTTCCGCAGGTTGCGCATGTCTCGCCGGGGAGACCAGTCAGCAGCAGCAATGCGTGTTGCACGGGCCCGCGTGCAGCCGCAAGTGGACGTCGCTTTGCGAGAGTCGAAACAAGCATGTGGCAGTCACTTTTGGCCCACCTCTGTCGCGTTTTTCGGAGATCTTATGTGACGAGTCGGAGCGCGGCCGCGCCCCTGAGATACAACTCAAGCGGGAGCATAGCGCAGACAGAGCGGCGCTAGATTGCATTTGCCCTGGCCCGGCTGCGCACTCAGCTTAAAGCGTGTGTGGTGTCCGGATACACATGGTACCAGATATGTGGCGCACCGAGCCTTCACCGGTCACCGGCCAGCGTACGTGGCGAGATATGGGCCGTGGTGTTGTGGTCGCGCCCCAACGACAGAATCGAAATCAGAAGGCCCGCAGTAGCAGTAAGCCGAATTGATGAATGATACCCAGTTACAGCAACTTGGGGTTGGGAAGAGTTCGACGCAACCTGGAACTCGGTGCTACTAATCTGTCTGCCTCCTGGATCTTGAGAGTGCATCCTGCTCGGATCTATGCCATCAGCATGCAAGTTTGCACGTACGCCAAGCGCCAGCACCAGGCCCTGTTGCAGATCAGATAGATGTCGCTTCATATAGGTTTCGTATCACAGTAGTTACAATATACGGATAAGTAATGTTGCCAGCGAATGTCTATCGCCTAATGATGGATTCTAAGTCAGACATGCGATGAACAGACTGTCCAGATGTGTAAATGCAGGGTATGTGGATGGAAAATGCCAAATGCCGGAATGATAGCGATGCAGAGAAAACCGGAGAACTGCGACAACTCGAAGAGAATAAGATACTACATGTAACGTGCAAAAATACAATGTGGCTGGAGCCATCATGAATGCGTCAATCAGTGGAAATGCAGAGGCGAAGCTAGTGAGGAACATTAAAGACGCCGACCTCGCGAGCCTGAATATGGCGACGAGGACGGCGGTGCTGTAGAGTAAAACTGGAATCCCGGGGGACCAGCGTTGGCAAAAGGGGCGGATGGAACAGAGGTCTGAGAGGGGTACGCGGCCCGTCGTGAGCTGTACAGGGCGTCGTGCTGCTGGGAACAAGCTGGCATGTGCGCCCGTGGCCGGTGCTCAGAGAACTTGGAGAACGGAGGCAGAGCCGCAGCGACAGGCAAACGCACGTGCATGTCGTACGGACTGGCACACGCCGACTGAACGACCATAGGCACCGTCGGGCGGATCTCACGGGCGGTGGAACCATGCGCGATGGGCTGATGATACCGTAATCTGCCCTTGCGAATATCGCTGTCTTCTTGTGATGGCGAGCAGGACAGCGTATAGAAGTACAAGTTCTAGTATATGGCAGCATCAGTAACTATGAACTGTCGTGAGTGACGTCGGCTTACCTCAGGGACTGCGTAGGTACGCGTATCATCAATACGGTACGCCGAAACCAGAGTCCGCGGTACATCGTACTGTCCCACGGCGGACGTCCATTGAGTGCCCCCGTTGTCGACGGGCGAAGCGCCGAGTGACAACTTGGCGAAGGATTGCAGTGGTTCGCTGGGTGACGCTGAGCTTTCACTGGAACAGCCGCTTGAATGCTCGAGCTCCGGAATCTGCAGGGTGAGACCCATAGACCGACGCGGGGGCTCCGTCGCAGGTTGTGACGGCATTTCCGATGCGTGAAATGCGTCAGAAGCAGACCGCTTATAGCCCGACACCAGCGGAGGTAAGTAAGCGGCGTGGGTGGGAGGTGCATACGAATCAATCTGCATGGGGTATGCAGACGGCGTGTGCGTATTGGACGAACAGCGCTTTGGTGACGAAGACCGCGCTCGGTGAGAGGTAGAATGCGAACGAACGAGATGGATAGGATGTTGCCGTGGGTGATGACTCCGGTGCAAGGAGCGACTGGGCCGCCATGACCGACGCCACTGCTGTAACTCCCTTTCTTTCGCCATCACGAGTCCCTGGAGTAGGTTCAACCACGAATCATATGTGGACTTGTCCACATATAAACCAAAGTCAATTCCTAGCAAGAACTCCTTCTCCATTCTGTTCACCTCGTCTAGATCGATGCCGGAAACTTCAGACCATGTTTTGTTCGTGTATGTATTGCTAGGGGTGATAGTACTTCAGCTGAGGTGGAAAGCACGCGCTAGGGAGGACTCACTCGTCAAGAAATTTATTGGCCATCATAAGCGCAGCGATAGCTACTCTGTACTCGCTCCCGGCTTGACCGGAGGTAAAACGATTACGGGCTTTCATGCGGAAAATGTAATGTAGTGAAAGGACGATTACAGACTGGCTAACTTGGGTTGTGTCGAGTACCTTTTGCATGAAACGAATGAAAGCCGGCGATACTGAAAATTGAAGCGACGCAGTCGTAGAATTACTAGGTGGGATGTACGGAATTTGATCTTCGGACGCAATGCGATTCCGTTTTGAGGGAGAGGAGGACTCTGAGAGACTAGAGAACCAGAGGTAACAAATCATCTCGCAAGTCTTTTCGGCAATGAACTGCGAGGAGCGCTGTTCGGAAGTAGAAAACCAGTCCAGGTGAATGGAAGGAGAAGGAAGAGACTCTGTCGCGGAGAGACCGTGCGGCTGAGATGGGGGTTGAGGATGAGAGTGAGAGATGGCAGGGAGCCTCAGAGAGGAGGTATAGCAGTCGCGCGGGTCGGAGGACTGTGGCGGCGTCACTTGGCAGAAACTCAGGACTTGTGGCGGGCTGGGAGCTCTTGGACGCGACTTACCAGGCAGAACGCGCGATAAAGCGTGGTCGAGATGGGCAATGGAAGGAAGAACAAGCTTTGAATGCGAATGACGCGGTAAGACGCGTGTGGAAGGAATATTTGAGAGAGGGGGGGTCAGGGGAGGCTCGGGTTTGGGGGGACGCCATGAAGACCAACTAACGAGGAGCTCGGTTGGGAGAGGAGAAGGAGGAGGAGGAGGAAGAGAGAGGTACTGGGGAGAGTGTGGCAAGGACGGAGGAGTGTAAAGAGCCATGGCAAAGACCAAGAGAGGCAGCGGAGGAGAGAGGGACGGCGGAGGCCAGGGAGGACATATTATAGGGCGAGTGACGCAGTTGTGAAGATCAAACGAGGAAAGCGGTGGAAGTGGCTGAAAATAACCGGAGAAAACAAACTGGGCAGTCAAGCAGTTGCGTCGCCAGCGAGAGCCGCTCCCTCATCGACGTCCTCCGCCCTCAGATCCTCCAGATCCCCGCCCCCGACCGTTCCCTCTCCGACGCCGGCCTCCTTCCTTTTTCCACCTTAGCCCCCGGCCGCGCCGTCCAGCCCCCCTCGGCATCCCGGCGCAGGGATATCCCATAGCCTTGCCTGCATCCCACGCACCATACACGGAGCACGCAGACTCCTGCGCCTGCCATACATGGGGCATGGACTCGCGGCCAGACGTCGGACCTGTGGCTGAGCCGGCGAGTGGAACTCCGCCCGAGATTGGGTTTTGTTGAGACTCTCATCTAGTGTTCCGATTTGGGCATGGGCATCAAAACCGTCATACGCCAGCGTGCCGATCGCGCTGTTGTGTGTGTCCCATGGGTGCACCACATTGGGGCCAGCCTCCTAATCAGCATTCTTGGTCTTGGTCCAAATACATTTACTTATTTCTTTTACTTGTGGGCCATGCGCGCCCCCCCTCGCAGCGTGTGCCTCTTCCGTGCCCATGGCCTCCGTGCCCGTTCGCCGTCCCCATGCCATTTTCCAGTCTCAGATCGTGACTCAGGCCGTGCGTGGCAAATGGTCCTACCTCCCGCCCCTAGCAATTTTATGGCCCGATCCACACCGCGATCCCGGCCCTTCGTGCTCGCCATTTGCCCTTGCCATAATTGTATTCACCTGTCGCTGTCAATATTTTCCAGCCCTTTCTATTAGTTTCCCGGGTCTTGTCCTTTGTCCTCCAACGGCCCTCCTCCTCGCCGTTCTGGACCCGGCGCGTCTGCTCGCATATGATCATCTCTCCCTGCGTGGCGTTTACACCACTAACGGCCCTTCGCATGGCGACCTTCTATCCTATCACCTCGCCGGCCACCCCAGCCCTGTCGCTCGGATCCTCTCAGGCGAGAGCTTACGGAAGATATCTGCCAGTGCCGCGGACGCCCTTGGGTCCTGTTCATTTGACGTCCTACTCCTTAGGCTATGCGCTTACGGCCGCTGCGGACTGTACACACTCGTCTAGCTTTTTCCAATTTGATTCAGCCCGGTTCATGTGCACCTGCCTAGGCCACTGATCTGATACAGCCCGGTTTGCATCACACTGCTCGTGGTTCCTGCAAGTATCTCGATTTCACTTAACTTTTCGGC